ATGTGGAATATCGGTTGCAAGAAAGGGCGGAAAAGAAATTTAGCCTGAGGAAAATGGATTGCAGTGCTTCGTTTGGGGGCAGGGAGGTGGCAATCGCACTTTTTAGAAGGGAGGATTCACTCCTGCAAAACATCATTTTGTTTGCAGCCCCAACTGTTCAATACACTGATCCCTTCTAGTGCTGACAACTAGATCAGAGGCAGTTTGGCACCACTATCATTGGCCTTAGTTAGCATAGCCAGGGATGAAGGATGATGGAGACTGCAGTTCAACCAAATTTGGAGCACCAGATGTTCCCCGTTCCTAAGCAAGTGGGTGTTTTGAAGACGTGCTCAGTGGGTTTTACTCTGCATGCAGCTTTTACACGACACTCTAAAGCCTTGTCTGCACTGGTTGGGATACTCCAGGGGCAACCCAGAGTATCCTGACCCCACAGCGGCTCCATTTACTCTTGTTACCTTGCCCTCTGTCCCTGTGCTATGGCAGCTGTCTGCACAGGAGTCCAGCTGGACTGCCCAGTGTGTCCGCCGCCATAGTGGGTTGCCTGATCTGAGGTCAGAATGAGGCTCCCAGTGATGGTCCATGCTGGGCACCTTGCTCTGACCTTAAAATGGGTGGCCTGTGGAGGCAGTGGACAGGCCAGGTGGCCCAGCAGGACACCCATGTGGACAGCCACTGCTACCCAGGGATAGAAGATCTGGAGCAACAGGTAAGTTCTTTTACTCCCTTGTAAGTGTGTTATGTCCTGATTCTGGTGCCAGGCATGTTGGACGTGATCCGGACAGCCTGCACCAAAACTAGGGTTTGGCCATGTGTTGTCCAAACAGGACTAATTGGTGGGAGGAAGGAGGAATGGGCCTTTTGGCCCACGCAGTCAAAGCCTAAGTCAATTTTATCTGAATTAGAAGCAATGGCATGTGGACCTGAGAAGATGCCTCAACAGATAGGATGCTGCCTAGAGTCGAAGATCCATGCTGCAACAGAGAGGCTGACAAGATTCATCGAGCCCAGCAACCATCACCCCTTCTTGCTTCAACATAATTCAACGGACTATGAGGCTTTGGCTAGGAAGAAGAAGGATCTTGGGTCACAGGTTGTTATTTCATCTCTCCTCCCTGTCAGGAATAGAGAAAAGAATACTAAAATTAAACAAGTAGCTCCACAGATGGTGCTCTTAGGAAAGGTTCGGGTTCTTAGACCCTGGTCTGCACTTTCTTGAAGAAGGGCTTCTGGCAAGAGATGGGCTGCACATCACAGTGGTTAGTAAGGCTATATTTGCTCGGAGTCTCACAAACTTGATCAAGAGATTACGTGGCAAAAAAAGAGATGCATTCCAGAGGAAGGAGGACACCAAGTACAGGGGATAATATCTTCAATGATACACAGGAATTGGTGAAATAGTATAACATCCTAACAGTGGGCAGGAAAAAGAAGAAGGAAGTAATAAAATTAATAATAATAATAATAATAATAATAATAATAATAATAATAATAATTTATTTATATAGCTGGAAATAATGGTTCCTAGTTCTACACTAGTACACAGAGCATAGGAGATAAACAAGATGAATTCGAACTCTTAACACAGGAAGGCAAATATAATTGAATAAGCATCAATGAAACTTAGCAGGGTGAGTCTTGTGATTGGAACATAGTAATGGAAGGGTATAACCTATTTCAAACAAACATAGCAAACAGGAAAGGAGGAGGAGTAGACATATATATCAAAGATGTGTACACCTATGAGGAGATTTATGACTTAAAGCAAGGGAAAGAAGTTCAAAGCATTTTGATAAAGGTTAAAGGAGAGGGAAATCAAAGTGGCATCATCGTGAGTGTTACAGCTAGATTGAAGATGTGGTTGATGCCTTCCTAACTAGACTGAAGATTGGATGATGCCTTCCTAGATAAAAATGATGAATATTCAAAAAAAGGAGAGAGATAGTAGCAATGGGAGACTTGAGCCACCTGGATATTTTTTTTTTTTTTTAGTAACTTTATTGTAAATATTTTAAAATACATACACATACACAATCTTACATCCAAAATCATATACATACATGGACCAATACATGAAAACACACCCGGATATTACTGACAGTAAAAAAATCTCTCAAGAATTTGGGGGAAAGGTCCATCAAATTCTTCTCTTGGCTTGCCATCAGCTTCATTGGCCAAAGTAGAAGAAGCAAACCAATCTATTTTGGATTTGATCCTAACCAACTGGAATGAATTGATTAACAGGAGAAAGTCATGGTTTTGGGGGTGAGATCCTTCTTGGAGCTTGTTATACAGAGGAAAAGGGAAGCCAAATATAATTAGACATGCATTCTAAAGAAAGCTGATTTCTATAAGTTTGGGAAAATACTGGTTGAGATCTCTTGATCAAAAATGTTCAAAGGGAAGGGAGCTTATGATGCTTGGGAGTTTCTTAATGGTGAGATGTTGAAGATACAGTTGCAAACAATTCAAATGAGAGAGCAGCGTGGGAGGTCTCTAAAGAATCATATATCTTTTGATATTCCAACACTAGAACGTGAACCAATGGATTACAATTGCAAGGAAAGAGGTTCCACCTAAACATTGGGAAGAACTTCTTGACTGTAAGAGCTGTTCAACAGTGAGATTTTGGACCTTATCACACGGGGCCCAATCCTGACAGAATCCAAAAGAAATC